AAGGAAAAAAATAGGTAAATATACGAATAAGGACAAAAATAGGTAAATATTGTACGAATAAGGGAAAACATAAGTAAATATACGAATAAGGGGGAAAAATAGGTAAATATTGTACGAATAAGGGCAAAAAATAGGTAAATATTGTACGATTAAGAACAAAAAATAGGTAAAAATTGTACGAATAAGGACAAAAAATAGGAAAATGTTGTACGAATAAGGACAAAAAAATAGGTAAATATTGTACGAATAAGGACAAGAAATAGGAAAATATTGTACGAATAAGGACAAGAAATAGGAAAATATTGCACGAATAAGGACAAGAAATAGGTAAATGCTGTACGAATAAGGACAAGAAATACGTCTATATGTGAATAGATGGATACGTAGGTGAGTGAATAGGATAGAGGAAGTCAGATAGATAAATAGATATAGATGTTAGAGTTGAATGAACAAATAGATCTAACCGAACACAACAATTATGTGTTTTTGTTTGTGTGTGTGTGTGTGTGTGTGTGCGTGTGTGCGTGTGTGTGCGTGTGTGTCAATTACTATATTGATTATGAAGAAGGACGAATATTATATAAAAATGTATCGCTCAGGACCAATTGGAGTGCAGAGCCGAGCGAGAAGTTGATTGGACGAGTGGCTCTTGACAAAAGAACAAGAAGAATAAATTATATTAGGTTTCCCCCTTTCCAGCAAGGCCGAGGGGGAAATGGACCCAAGGCGGTAGTACTGTACCGAGGGGGAAATGGCTGTAGCTATATCTTTGTTTAATATAGGACACAGAGTTGTGATGTTTGCATTTTGTTCGAAACAGGTCACCGGGGAAAAATATATAAAGTTAAAGTTATTGTTGTTGTTATCATAATTTTTATTATTATGATTATTATTATTGTTACTGTTATTGTTATTATCGCCATCACCACCACCATCACCTCCACCACCATCATCACCATCATTACCACTACTCCCACCATCACCACCACATCCACTACCACTGCCACTATCACCACCATCACCATCACCATCACTATCATTACCACCACTATCACCACTACCGTCATTTTTTACTCTTTCGTACTTTCTTTCTTTCTTTCTTTCTTTCTTTCTTTCTTTGCAATGTTTTTCTTTGTCTCTCGTTGCGTATCGTTGCGTGTTTTGATCTTCCATGCACGGGGAGAAAGTCGGGAATCCTATCTGGGTGAAAAGGATTCGCTCGTGAAAAGGATTTGAGTCGGAGAGGATTCCTTTCTCTGATGTTTTTTGTTTTTCTTTCTTTCTTTCTTTTTTGAGAGGGAGAGGGAGAGAGATAGAGAGAGATAGAGGGAGAGGGAGAGAGAGAGAGAGAGAGAGAGAGAGAGAGAGAGAGAGAGAGAGAGAGAGAGAGAGAGAAAGAGACAGACAGAGACAGACAGACAGACAGACACAGAGAAAGAGACAGAGACAGACAGACAGACAGACACAGAGAGAAAGAGACAGAGACAGACAGACACAGAGACAAACAGAGAGAGAGAGGAGAAAGGAAGAGGCAGGGAGAAAGAGGGTGAGTGTGGGGGAGGATGAAGGAAATATAGGAGAGTGGAAGGAGAAAGGGAGGGAGATGATGATAGCAATAATGATCATAATGATAATAAATGTAATTATATTAATGATAAATATTGTTAGTAATGATAATGACAATAAAGATAATAACGCTAATGACATGGTAATCATAATCATAAATCAAATTAATAATAATGTCAATGATAAAACAAAAAGATTAAGATTGAGCATAAAACTTTGAGTTGTAGCATCTTGAATTACGCAGTCTTCGATTACCTAATTTATTTATCTCTTTGTCTCTCTACCAGTCATTCTGTCTTCCTGTCTATCTATCTTTCTATGTATATATGTATAGATAGATAGATAGATAGATGAATGGGTAGATAAATAGATGGATAGATAGATAGATAAATGGGTAGATAGATAGATAGATAAATGAGTAGATAGGTAGATAGATAGATAGATAAATGGGTAGATAGATAGGAAGATAGATAGATAGATAGATGGTAGATAGATAGATAGTATGGTTATATAATGTAGATAGGAAAGAAAAATAGATCTTAGACCGCCCCCTCCCCGGCTTCTCCCCCCGCCGGCTGTCAACGTGACTGGCATGTGTCACCAGCTGGCCAGATTGCTCTTCCCCTCCCTCTCCCCCTCCCCCTCCCCCTCCCCCTTCTTATCCCCCTTTTTTTCTTTTTCTTCTCTATCCCTTTTCCTTCTCTTTTCCTCCTCCTCCTCCTCCTTCGTTTTCTTATTTCTCTCCCCTCCTCTTCCTCTGCCTCCTCTTCCTCCTCCTCCTCCTCCTCTTCCTTCTCTTTTTCCTCCTCCTCCTCTCCCTCCTCCCCCTCCTCCTCTTCTTCCTCATCTTCCTCCTTCCCTTCTTCCTCCTCTTCCTCCTCCTCCTCCTCCTCCTCCTCCTCCTCCTCGCCTCCTACCCCATCCCCTTTCCTTCTCCCCTCCCCCCCTGGCAGGGAATAAGCAGCAGGTGTGATTGCATGATTGCTTGTAGGAAACTGCTCGTAAACTCTCGTGGTGCGAGCGAAGGTGCGAAGTGCATTGCAAGAGGCGTTGCAGCAATTGCAAAACGAGGAAAGACGAGTTGGTTGGT